TYTAAGACATCAAATCTTTGCTGAAGRGTCATAAGCTTCAGTTTTCACACTACATTGTAGGATTTTGGTGACATTCTCTCTTTGAGGAAGCAGTGGTTCAACAAAAGTAAGGCAGACTTCATTCCACATTACACAACCCCTTAGTTCAAGGTGAAATTTTACCTTTACTTTTCAGATAGCAATACTATTACTATCCCTCACTGCCTGCTTGGCCTCTGTCTTCCCATTCCCGAGCCAGCACAGGTATGTAGTAAACTAGACTGGGTGCAAACTTCCTAAAAAATAAACCTTTCCTCCAAGCTGGCCCTTCTTCCAGTTGCATTCATGCTGGCACAGCCACGTTCATGCTGGCACATGCAGGTGTGGAAACGGGCAGCAGTGGCTGGTGACCTAAGCCAGCTCATGCCAACATGGTCCAAAGCATCTCYAGACAACCAGACTATTGTATGGATGGAGTCTTGCTGTATGAACCCAGCTGAAAAAACAGCTTGTTTGACCAGTTGAGGTTCTTTCCTACTTTAAGAGGCCTGTTGAGTGCAGTGCAGCTTATATAAGAACAGAAGTGGCAGAGATGCCATCGCTGCAGGTGAAGACTCTGCCCAGAAAGAGATTCCACACCGGGCAAAACTGCCTTTATTTTATAAATGAGGATTTGCTAGAAGTTGCACTCTTGTTTATTCATGTGCAAAGGGAAGGTGAAGAGAGGGATGGGCAAAGGAATCACCCCATTTCTTTTGGCCATGTATTTTTAATATTTTTAAGGCTACAGAAGCATCTTAGTAACTGTACTTCCAAATCCTGATCTATAACTGCTGCACACGATCAAGTGCACAGCACAGATGTCAATACATTGCTCTTTAGTTCAACTTGCATTTTTCTGCACAATGCTTTCTGGGCGACTTCACCCTTTGACTGTTCCTATACAGAGGATCAAGTAAACCAACCTTGAAAGGCTAAATCGGTGTGAGCAGTAAGCCCACAAAGGCAAGAAAGTRGCTGCCAGTTATATAAACCCAGTCTTTGTCACTAGAACTCTACCTCAGCACAAGGTTTAGAAAATAGTTTCTGTTGTTACCTAAGAGAGTAGGTCATTCTGCCTAATCAACATTAAATCCTGCTTCTRAGAGCTGCAGTGCATTGCTAGCAGGGTAACATCATCTCCACACTTCACTTCTCACAAAGAAATCTCTTAAGAGTTTTCTGGGAAAAGTCTCAAAATTAAATCCTGAGGTAGCAGGCACTTGGAGCCCTGGGAAGCACAGAGAGCAGCAGCCCATGACAAAGCTAGAGCACTCAAAATCCTTTAAAGGAAGGACTCGGCGCGACGTTCTGGGCTATGGCAGAAAGCAGCCACATTCCCAGGGTGGCAAATGAATAAGATGAGGTTGAGCAAAGTGCTTATGTGAAGCAAACACTCGATACACCCGAGCCCGTTTCCTGGGGTTCATTCTCCTTACCTTCTCTAGGCAAGTCTAACTGCTGGGACCTTTAAATGCAAATCCATTCTTTGGACACTGCGCTGGCCGCATCACTTGCGTGTACAAGTCCATCCTCTGCTGCAAACTACAAACAAGGTGAGACAGAAGCAGTGAGGAGCCAGGCTGGTGCAGAGGAGCAGGGGCGGCTGCCCACGCTACCCTGACCCTTAGGAAGGCTCTGGGCAGGTACCAGCTCAGGCTGCATAACTGGCCATTTGGGCTGCTCCGTGGGCATCAAGAGCGATTCAACGGCAGAAACGACACCGGGATAATSGGCCTCCCAGCAGCGTAACCGGGGWGCACACAGGCTCTTGTTGAGACCGTCCCCGGACTTGGGCAGTCACCACGGACTGGTCTGGAGCTCTCACCTCAGGGAGCTGTGACAAACCTCCCCTGCACTGCCTGAGCCACACAAAGAAAAACACTTCCGAAAGCGGTAAATCCCACACCCGAAAGCCCACCAACACCACCACCAACGCGCCCCTCGTGCCAGCCTCGGGGCCTCCCTGCGCTGCCAGGCTACAGCCTGGGGCACGTGCTGCTGCTGCTGCTGCCAAGCTCGAGCACTCCCGTGTCCCCGAGCCCGTGTGGCCGGGGGAGCAGGGGCTGTCCCCAAGCGGGCGCTCTCGCCACCCCAGCCATGGGGCTCCTCCTGCGCTGGGGCAGCGTTTTTGCAGGGACTGCCCAGGACGACAGAGCAGGGACCATCCCCTTCCCACGCTGCTCCCACCAGGGCCCTCAGCTGCTTTGGCTCGAGTCAGGCAGCTCAAACAGCAGCTCCAACTCACACGGGTGAAACCCTCTGCCTTTGCACCCAGATGCAACCAGCATGGGCCAGTTTATTAGCCCCAGGCTGGGGACAGAGGTAGCAGCTTCTGCAAGAGGCCGTGCTTGGGCCCTCTGAGATCTGGCCCCTGTACATGTGGGCRCTGTGTGAACATGCCCATGTCCCTGCATTGCCCCACAGCTGAGGGGCTACAGCCACCTGGGGGAACAGCAGTGGGTCACATTCCAGCCTGGACAAGCAGCAGCTACAGCTTTTCACCTGTAGCTGCTGCTACAGCATCAGGAATAAGAGTGYCCAGATGGGGACATGGTAAATGGCTGTTCTAGTCTGCTTTTTCCTAGTTAAACAAAACCTAGGAACAAGTACTTGCATATTTTAACCTGCGGTCAGGGAGGATTTGTTCTTCTGCTCCTGACAGGTTCACGTTGCGCTGTGACGGCTGTGCCCAGGTGGGGAGGTGGTGGCGAGCTCTGCACATCACCCGCACACGGCAGCACAGGCTGCCTCCTTCCAGCCTCGCTTCTCATTGCTTCCTAACAAGAACCACCTTCGCTCTGAAGGGCTGCCATCTAAGAGAAAACCCAGGTTTGGACCACAAATACACAGCTAAGCACATTGCTCCCCCTTCAGTGGGAGCAGAAGTTGTCCATCATATCAGCCTTATAAAACCTGAAGGAAGATGGACAGGTCACCCCCAGGGTCCTAAGAACAGGAGATATTTTCAGCTGCATTCGGGCTGACACAGACAGCAGACACATGCATTCACATACGCTGCCCAAGGACAGGASTTTCTACCTTTAAAATAGGTTTAAAAAATCCTTTAAAATGGGGGGAGAAAAAAAATCCATTAACTTGACAAATACCAGGGGTATGAGTGAATTCATAATGTCATTTGTTAATGATATTATTAAGAGATCCCTGTCTCTTGTTTAAACATGGATAAACACAACAGACCACGTTCTCAACAGGGTAGGCCGCTTCCTGAGGGAAGTTATTCCCTCGGGAGGCCCGACTCTGGAATGGGACCGACTCCACTTCGGGAAGCCCAGGAAGCCACGGCACGCAGCCACACAACGTGCCCGGCACTCGCGGCGTCTCCCGCCCGGCTCCGTGAGGCGCGGCCTCGCGTGAGGCGGCCGGAGCGCAGCACCACCACCACCACCAGGCCGTGTGAGGCAGGGAGCCAGCAGCACCCCCGGGGCCGAGTCTGCCTCTCGGGCCCAGCAGAGCCCATCCTGGGCAAGGCTGGGGCTTGACAGCCCACCAGGAGAAGGCTGCGGACTAGGAGGAACATCCAGCAACCTGTCTTTGCTGCCCGAACACCACGGGCCGAACTGGGCTTTGTGTGTGAACGGTGAAGAGCAAGTGGATGACGAGCCTTGAGGCACAAGGGGTCTTCTTTCTCACTACTGGATTGCGCTCCTGCRAATAAGCAGGAGGAAAAAACAAAACCCTCCATCTTCCTATCAATCACTTCACCCAGTTTGCAGCGTTGAACATCAATTAATCCCACATACTAATCCAAATATTTTACTAGATACCAGCAAAAAAGTGTTAGGAAGTGGCAGCAGGAATAGCTAATTGAATGTCAATCACTCAGTATATTTAAGCTAACAGAAGGAATTAGAGTCTTTAAATAGAACAATTAAGTTTCCATGGCATTTGGGTGGGAGAAAACGGTCGGTCGAGTCGATCTTGGACACTGCTGCCAGCAGCAGAAACATTTCTGCAACTTTATGAAAATTGAAGACAGAGTGCAGTTTGGGTTTGGGTTTTTTTTTTTTTTTTTTTGAACAAATCCATGATGGAAGGTGACTCACTATGAGCAAAGGTAGGTATGAGAAGTCCCACGTTCAACCACTTGGTTGTCCATTTACATGGCAGTGATTAAAAGCCACGAGCAGGCTGTTACCCTCAGCAAGGCCAATCACTAAGGACGTGGYTTCAGGCAATCCAAGCCAGCAGCTTCTTACTGAGCGAGTACTGCAAGAGCTGTGGGGTCCAGAGCATTGCGGTGATGAAGAGGCTGTTTCTGGCTGCAGCTATTCTCCACGTGTGACCTCTCCCAGGCTAAACACACATAGGGTCGTTTGCTAACCTAAGTTAACCAAGTCTGTCAAGTGATCCTGGACAGACAGATGCAAATAAAGCCATTGGTGCCAGCCCTGAATGATACCACTCCTAAGCCAGCACACTTATTCCAGCCTCCCAGTTTTACTGGTTTAACCTAGTGGTCATTCATGCTCTCATATGGATGTGAGCTATGATCAGGGCTACCAAAAAAAAAAAAAAAAAAAAAAAAAAAATTCTTTTTTCTTTCTCCCCCCCCCCCCCAAATAACATGATTTAGCCTATAGACAACAAAAAGCAGTGCATAATCCATGGCAGTAAGAGGTGGAAGCAAGCAGATGAGGACACTAACAGAGCACCCTGGGCCTCCTCATGCAGGTGGTGTCCGACTCATGCCTTTTACAAAGTCTTTATATTTGCTAGTTGTGTGAACCACTCCAGAGATGGGCTGCAAACATATTGCTAGGAGAGGGAAACAATCTCTCAACCCAAACTCAGCCACAACTAGAGCTGACCAGAGCTACCTATTCTTTGGAAGAGACCCATACATACAAACACTACCAACATATTTCTAAAGAAAATGAGGACAGCRAAATAAACATTTACCTACCCAGCTGCTTCAGGAGTGCCAGTGTTTACCATAAGACACAGAACATAAGAAAAATTACAGTTATATTTAGTTCAAGGACTTGGAGCCACATACAGTTTTGTGTATTTGCTAACTCACAATGGGATTTCCCGGCCAAGAAAATTACCCACACAACCCACCAAACTACCCACAACCTACACAACACACTGCCCACTGAAGAACAACCTTCTGTTTCAGCCTATAGCAGTGTTGCCAGGCTCCTGCTCTCCACCCGAGGTACGGTCAAATATTTTGACTGCATTTTTGATGTTTCCAAGGCACTCTTTAGAAGTGATCAAAACGACACCCCAACCAAATAGAGAGGACTCRAGTTATTATTCTAAAGCCATAAGCCCTGCAACAGCAGTTGACAAACGCCTGTATAGCWGTGTTATCACAGCACGTGCTACCAGTTGTCTAGAGTACAGTTACTTGTTACTTTCAAAATACACATAGGCAGAAACTAATACATCTGTCTATCCAGGATTAAAGAAATCCATTTCTCTGAATCCTTTTTGCTTTCTTGAAAGCCAAATATAATTCCAAGCTGAACAGAGATATCAAAAACAACAGACCCCAAACAACCTGCGCGCGCGTTCTCTCTCTCTCTCTCTCTCTCTCTCTCTCTCTCTCTCTCTCTCCCCCCTTATTTTTCCTTAGTAGCTCACTAATGCCATCCTCATAGCACAGAAGGCAAAGGCGGCAGCCTTTTCGTTGCATTGTCAGGTTTCATCGCCAAAGACAGAACAATATTAAGAGGAGTGCAAGAGTTCCAGGGATTTCCTGACAGATGCAAGAAAACCAAAGCCATTTTTCACCCCCTGCTCCTTATCTAGGTTGCAGACTGTGTGAAAAACAGAACCAGCTATTATAAAGCAGCCTGACCTTGTGAAACACCTTTTAGCAGCAGGTCAAAGAAGCTTTCCTTATTTCCATAAACACCCACTTGTTAGATTTATGAACCACTGTCTGATCATTAGGCACCAGCTCTGTATTGCTTTTCCATGTACATGCATTTAAATGCATGACTTAGTACAGARGATATCCCCATTCTTTTCTGCTGCACATTTAACTTTTTTGAATTAAATTTCAAAAGCAGAAAACTTTCTTAAAGTTCTCACTATTACGTAAAAAGGAACCCAATTATTTATTACATTCTTTACAAAGCATGGAAGCTTACATAAAAAGTGAGATTAAGTTTTGCACTTCTCTAAAAGAAATCAGCTTCAAGGGATCATCATTGCTATTAGTCATAAATAAGTGACACAAATCAAGTGTGCTCCAAATGAAAAAGCAACATCTAAATAACAAACCAATATCTTAAGAAGGAAAGCTACATTTACTCTGAATTTCTACTATCTTAACAAAAAAAAAATATTTTTTGCTGCCATAGAAACTATGTAAGATTGCTTCCTAAGAATAGATTAAAAATAGAGTGTTTTGACTTAGGATCGGATCCGTCTCACCACCATATGCCCACAGCCCAAACAACTAGTAACAGGGCTCCTGTGAGACCTCATTCAGTGAGGTGTTTCTCTAGCACTCTTCTTAGTCTGTAAGGACCATTAAGCAGGGCAGTATATCAAACTCACTACAAACTACCACTAATTTTAGATTAGAATTGAGGTTACTGTGTTCTGATGACACGCAAGTATTGAGAAACCTGCTTTATGCTGCCAGTGCAAGTTTGGGACTTTATTTTTCTTTATCCTACATGAGAGGTCAATTTTGATAACGTCTCATCATAGCTTTGAGAGACATGTAGGCATTCTAAAAAGCTCTTCAGAGCAGAGAAAACTTGCATTCTAGTGAAAAAAGGAAAGGATAAGCAGCTCAAATAGACTTTTAATTTAACTAAAGAAGCAAGAAAACCTTGGTTATTTCACAGATATTACACAGTTCATCCTCCTCAACAACTTCAGGATAAGTAGCTATTTAACCCTTTCTATTACCATAAAAGCAACCATGAGAACCTGCTGGAGAGCTTCTGTCAGGGAGCTTGACAGAATTCCAGAAAGGAAGGAGTTTATGGCCAACAAGGAGCCTACCTCTTTCCAAGCCCTCAGGACTGCAGGGAGGAAGGGGCAACAAGAGTTTTTACCCTGCAGGAGACAGCTAACACCCCGAAAAGCCCCTTCACAAGAGGGAGGCTGAGGTTGGGAAAAGCTTGAAACGTATTTACGATACTATCACGTTCAAGCATTAGAGAACTGAATTTTCACCATAAAGGTGAAAAGAATAAAGAAGTAGAAGCAGAGAAGAAGTGGAATTCTTACACCATAAAGAAGTAGAATTTTGGTAGAAATGATGATAATAGACGCCAATCTACCCCTTCTGGAAAAAAAAAAAAAAAGGACAAAGAGCTTCTTGACATATGCAGGAAGAAATATGCACATGCCAGATCCTATCAAGGGCACTATAACACACATCCAAGAGATGGCTAGGGAAGAAGTCCTACTTTAGCTAGGTAAACCTAAACAAATGCCTGCCTGGAATACTCATAAAACCTGGGAAACCCCTAGTCATCCTGAAATCGTTCCCCTGAAGAGGCCACTGAACAAGCTGTTCATGGTTGCCCAGGCCGTTAGGCAGCAGACAATGTTCTTCCATGAGCTTTGGACATTGGCTTCCAAGGCCTTGCTTGGTGCTGCTCRGTGTCGCTCCGCTTTACCTGGGGTAGTAGGCTGTGTAGTTCATGAAGAGCTGGGTCCCGGCGGGGTAGTAGGCTGCGGAGGGCTGCAGCGTCCGCGGGCTCAGCAGCACGGACGGCTGGTACAGGGCAGCTTCCGTGGGCACCACCGTGGCCGGAGCGGGGAAGGAGTAGGAAGRGGGCGAGAGGCCTACAGGGAACAAATGGAAAAGAGATCAAGACCTTTGAAATTCCAGCATATATGGGGTGTTYGTTAGCAGAACATCCCTGCAGTCACTCAAGGCCCTTCGCAAATTAAGRGGCTAATTCTCTTGCTCATCCCTGAAAATAAGTCTCTGGGCCACTGATGTGGCTTATCTGTAGCACTCAAAGTCAAACAGTCGAATGCATGGGTTAATAATGGACAAAACGCCTCCTCACTCTGGGAATATTGGGAAACTCTGGGAACTCTGGAAAGAGACCCTTTTTTCCTCTTGTCTAGTCTCAGACTTGAATGAGGTCTCCATTCAARAAGACTCAGACTCTTCTCTACTTGGAGAGAAACTTGAGAGTCCCCAAAGTCTACCTAACCTTCCTCACTGCAGAAGACAGACTTTTGTCTTGATGTTCTGGTGCCCCAAACAGACCCATCACTAGTGGGAAGGAGTAGTGACACAACAGAGAAGTGTTCTGAAGGATACCTTATTCATAGCTAGAAAACAGAGCAATGCAACGTAAGATATTCCCAAAGTTGGAGACTCCACTCTTGCACATGCTCCAGGAGCTGCCTGGAGAAGCGTCCATTCTTGTCCAGAGCAGCTGCCACATGCGGACCTTCACTGTACACCCCTGCTCGCCCTGCAAGAAGCGCTAGTCAAGGGCAGGACTCGTGTGCAGAGGATTAGCTGAACGCAGCTCTCGCTGCCCTCCAGGAACCACCTCCAGGAAGATTCCTGTCAGACTGGCCAATCYGACCGGAGCTTAGAGAACATACAATTTCTTAAAGAAAGAATCCCCACATGCAGAGAGAGCGAGYGCTACCCTGCCACCTGTGACCTTGGAAGCAAAGGATTATTTTTCCCATAGGCTGAGATTTATATTATGAGGCATGCACACAAGTAAGCCCTTATTCTCGAAGCTTTTTTTCCTTCCTCCAAATATTTGTCCAGACACCCCTGTTCATTATAGAAGTTCTGAGGAACCYAAGTTTACATAAAGCAATTTCTGCAGTTCTCCCATGCCAGAATTTTGTGCATTTTGCTTCCACACAGGCAGCCTCAATTCTGTACAAACAAAAAGCTGCAGAGGAGTTTGGTTAGCAACAGCTTTAAAGGTAGAATACTTGTGGTCAAGTCTCACAGGAGGGTATTACCAATGGCTTCATAAACTAAGTTTTGAATGTGAAAGGGAAAAGGCTGTTCACCATGATATAAATACAAATCAGCTCAAATGGGAAAGTGTTATTTAAGCCCTAGGCAATCAAATTACTTTTCTGAATCATGACTCACCGTAGCTGAGCTTCAGGGAGGCAAGGGGAAGTTTGCTAGTGGGAAAGCAGGAGTAATTTGGAAGCAGTTCATTCGTGGCAATCCACAACCAAAGGGAAAAATAATGATTGCAAGCACTGATGATTTAAGATGAAAAGGCCTCATTTTGCCACCCCCATTTGCCACTCCCTTCCAAGAACCAGAATCAGAGCTAGGAAAGCAGCTCCAACACCTACCCGCACACAGCGCAGAGCGTTGGCGAGACCCACGCCAAACTTACATGGTAACTTACATGGTGGTGGGGACAAGCCATTCCGATTCAAAGTGCCCCCCATTAATACAAAGTTCATCTCCTCAGCAGAACACTGAAAGACTTCCACGTATCTGTCCTTCATCGTCTTCTTGTGGCACTTCTGCGCCGCCAGGAAAGCTCGGTCTGCAGATTTCATCTGAATAAAGGCATCTCCCGAAGGGCGGCCCTGCACGCAGAGCACACACATGGTCTGGAGCTGCCCGAAAGCACCAGCAGTGCAAAGCTCTGAGCAGGGAGGAGCAGTCCTTACACCCACACTTGATCATTATTCATTTTGTTTTGTTCCCCAAAACCAAGCTCAGTCATTCCCAGGCTGCCTGTAGTGCCTCTTCTTTAAACATGCCTCAATTTCCTACGATTGCTAGGGAATCCTAGTCTGTCYGCTACATCATATGGCCATTTTTATGGCCCATGTTAACTTATTTGAAATCATAAATARAAAGAAAAAAGTTGAGCTGTAACTTGAGCCATGTTTATTCCATTGTTAAAAGCAAAACAAACACCTGGTAGAGGCAGCACTTCCCAAGGGCATTCACTGAGACTCTAAACCAATAAACTTAGTAAGAGTAAGCAATYAGAGTATCTGATCCACACTTGATTACCAGTGATTTTAAAGTTTCAAAACGTAAATAAAGCTTCAGTTGCCAGCATTAGGCATTTTAAGCCCTGTATGTGCTAGAATATTTTAGAAGGGCACTAGTCTAAGGCTGATAAAGCAGGTGGGCTTAGTACAAGTTYGCAGGGAAAATACAGCCCTACAAACAGCTACAGGCACATGATTCTTCCCATTACATATCCCACTATAGCCACACAGCTGTTTGGCTTGAAGTAGCCAAAAATACAAGTAGAAATGTGAAGTTAGCTCTAAATTAAGTTCTGAGCCACTTCTGCTAGTCTAAGAACAGCTGTATTGCCATCGTTTACACACTTCAARAACTAGAGGAACTGAAGTCAGGAATGGTGGGAGGAGGTGGAATATTCAGGAGGATCTTCGCCCTCCAAAACCAAACTAAAYAAACGCCCCACCAAACCCAAACACCCCACACCCCTACTTATGGGTGCCCACTGACCTAACCCAAAGCTATGTTCTCACACMCGTTTCTTCCTGCAGATTATTTCACTGCTGCTGGCAAGGGCTGACACTAGTGTCAGCATCAACTYGTGCTTTAGCATCTTTATATTGGTCTCTTCCTGGTTGTGTACATTCCCTACAACATTTCTCCAGCCTCATCTATGGCCATGTCAAGCCCTCACACATCCAGGGCTCTTAAGGCAGAGCATTACAGCTACAGTCCCTGCTCCCCCCAACACAGAGGCCTTACTCCAGGCCAAGGAAGCCTTTTGCCATGAGACAAGTGTTGCTCAAAAACATCCTAGAAAAGCCACTTTCAACCCACTGTAGTTCCCAGTGCAACTACCGGGGGCATCTCCATAGATGGAGAGGAGCTGCCTCCTCCTCTGTCTTCAGCTCCCCCTGAAGTCCCAAGGCTATGCAGAGAGAGGAGGAGGTCACAACACATGGGTCAGTTTCTATGGAAAGTTATTGAGATCGTTKCCAGGAAACAATGGCAGAGATGCGACTGTCTCTACAAGTCAATGAGCTGTTAATTTGGGTGCTTAGCTGTGAGCATTTAAACATTAAAGAAATCGAGCAGGCGCAGCTCAGAAGAGCCAGAGCTTCCCCTGCTCCCGGGTGCCCCAGGAAATCCTTTGGGCTGTGGGAGGCTGCAGTCCCAGGTGTGCTCAAAGGCCCCACTCCAAAGCTGGTGGATTGGGAGGCAGGYGCAAGCAGCCACGCTGCCCTGCACGCTGCCATTGCCACACTTTTGTGGAGGCAGTGCGGTGGATGAGGAGGAATTCTGCACGCTGTGGATGGAGCAAGGCTGTGGTAGCCTTCTGCTAGCGAGGATATTTCCTCCTGCACCATGTCCATGTGCAGCGGCACAGGGCAGCCAGCGCTTGCCCTTCCATCGCACCTACCAACCTGGTGGTTTAGCACCATGTGCACCCCATGGGTGCGGATGTCCGTTGCAAACTCGCCCAGGAACTCCAGGATGTCCTCGATGGTGGCAGCGTAGGGCAGCCCACGCAGGCGAACGCAGTCCCTGACGCTGGCGGGAGGCACCAGCTGCTGAGGCAGCACCGGCAGGATGGGGGGCGTCGGGAGCGGAACGAGGGGCGCCGAGGAGAATCTGTTCAGCACCTGGAACAGAGCTCCCCGTCATCCTGCCATTCAGGACTGAAACTCCAGCCCCCTCTTTCCACTCTGGGCAGTATTTTCAAGAGACTGAAAAGCTAGTTTCTAAGCTCCTATTGTTTTAAACCTCTTTGGATCCCTTTTACCCAAAACATCTTTTTCATTTGGAGCATTTGCTTAGACTATTAGGAGAGTTTTAGAAGACCTCTTGGACCACGAGATTTGTTCCTAYACAGCATCTTTATTGGAAAAAGCCCGAAAGCTGCCCCATCAGCCAAAGGGGCACAGCAGATTTTCCCTCCCTGCTGCGTGTTGAATAAGCAACGGCTGTAAAACCTGTTACCCGGAGCTTCTCTTCTCTTAAGTTTTACTAYAGGACATTAGCAAATAGAAGCAAATTTCACTTCCAGCAGGGACTTAGTATCCTAAGGATACAGTCCAGCAGGTAGCACTGTCTGCTGGGTCACAGCATTGGGAAGAAAAACCCAAAAGAAAACAACAAAACAAACCACCCTCTCCCCCACACACACTTTGAGATTTCCTGTTACTAACAGCAGCAGGAAAAAAAGCCCAAACAAAACCCACCCACACACCAACCTCAGCTCGTCAAGAGCTGGTTGAATATTCAACCACTTTGAATATTTAGTCATCTTTAACAGCCTCTGAGCGAGATTAGGCTCACTTTMCATTTAAACAGGTTCCAGAGGTTTTTCCCTAACCATAATACAAAGCRGGGCCTTGCCAGGCTGGAGCCAAGCGGCACAGGAGGGAGAGCTGCAGTTTCTTTGTCACCATTARTGTCACCTGCAGGGCACTGAGCCAGGCACTGGAATGCCTGTATCCGTGGGGTGGAGGGGACACCCCGGAGCTGCTCCCTTGCCTGGGCAGTGAAGCAGCTCCAGGCAGGCCACGGTTTGCACCACAGGCAAAACCTTCAAGCTACGTTTAGAAGTTGCCTACTGACTTCCACCTAGGATAAGCTCTGCACATCTGGGAGACAAACACACTCCTCTGGGCTTCCCTTCCTTTCCCTCACRGGGAGCTGCAATCAAGGCCACGTCGAGCCCCGTTTGTGCAAGAGGCAGCAGTTGCCCGAGGCCCTGCCACCCACGGGCAGCGCTGGCACGAGGCAGCCGGGCCTGTGCTCACAGGCACCCCTTGAGAGCCCTCACCTACCTGCTCCAAGAGGCTACCAGATCAAAAGGCTTTATTTTCCATCCCAGGGACTAAAAATAAATCTTGTCTATCAAGATTTGTCACCTGTGTGCCTCCTGAAGAGGCCTAAGTCAGCAGGGGGCTTAGAGCCAGGATCTCTAGTGCGCAGCTCTAGACTATTTAAGGCTTCCATTAGAACTGCTGCTTGCGGGGCTATCAGGAGACAAAAACAAGGGCTTAGCATATGGAGAGAAGAGTCAGACACAGCAAGACCCTTCATTTAGGGAAATCCAACCCTTATGGAAATTACACAGTGCTCCTTCCAGCACSAGCAGTGAGGGAAGGCCCTGGGGGAAGGCAGGGGAAGCTCCTTAGCCACAGCCAGGCAGTATTTGCCTAAGATATTGCATGCTGATTTAAGAGCTTGGATTACAAGCTCTGCGGGCGTCTGCAGGCTTCTCATCCACCCACCTGCTGGACCTCTGCTGCGGTGCTCCTGAAGAGCTCGATGTAGCGTTTCCCCAGCAAGTCCTTATGCTTCTTCAGGGCGTTCTGCGCGTGCTCCTCGCAGGCGAAGAGCACGAAGGCGTCGCCCGTGGGCCTGCTGTCGGGGTAGGTGACGAAGAGGACGCCCTCCTTGCCCCCCGTCACGGGGCAGTGCTGGCCGAAGAAGGAGAGCACGTCCTCGGGCGTGACGCTGAAGGGCAGCCCTCGCATGCGGACGATCACCTGGTTCTCTTTGGACAGGAACTGCGCCACCTCGCTGGAAGTGCCTGGAACACGGGGAGGGAGGAGGGATCCCCAGGTGCCGATGGCCGCAGGGATGAGCCCAGCCGTCACCTCCTGCCCCACGCTGCTCCGAGCAAGCAGAGCAACATGTGCCTCCGCAGGCAGGCAAAGGCGTCCCAGAAATATTGCACCACAGAACATTGCCCGTGGAAGTGCCGCACTGCCGCTCCTCTGCCTCCTCAAAGGGATTCATCCTTTTCCAAAGGGAAGGATGCATGGACTTGCAGTACTCCGAGCCCAGGGAAAGCAGCCTGTGGATGTCCTGCATGACCAGTGCCAGTGCTGCCAGGCTTCTCAGCTCTCCCACTGGGGAAGCCTCCAGCCTGCTCTGAAACCATGAGGTTCAGGAGCTGGGTGCTCAGACCATGGGGCTCAGAAAGAACATGGGATGGGAGATAAAGGTGTTGGAATGGAATGCAATTCCTGAGCCAGAACTGCCATCCTTCAGTTTGTCAGTTCTGCTTTCAGCATCTCAGAAATCCCTGTTCCCTGCTCATACTTCTATGTTCGTACTACTCTATCCAAAGCCAGCTGGTAGCCAAGTTCACACCTTAATATGTTGCTTCCACTCAYAGGCATCTCAGCTTTGTAGATCTCTACAAAACTAAGAGTTTGGCTATGCCAGACTTGTGCTTTTTTGCTAGACTAGCATGCAATGTCTTTACTTCCAACAGTACAGCTATTCTCAGTCCTATCAGTTAGTTAAATATAGTCCTGTCAGTTAGCTAAATATTTGACGTGTTTCCCTAAAACCTGACYCTTCAGCATCCAGGTAGCTACTTGAGATCTTTGTTGGTTCCCAACAGACTTGTTGTGGGGACCATAAAACAGTATTGTAGATGTGTAATAGTTCAGTGAATCTCACTCCAAACTCCATCTGCTCACAGTCATTAAAAASGGAAAGACTATGGGCGGGTTTGTAGGACAGGTTTTTCAGCCTTTCAAGTCAAGGTTTGGAAATATTCCCCTTAAGCAAATAATTCTTTTTGAATTCTCCCTTTAGTTTGAGATGGAAGGAAGCTTTTGACTTGAGGAAAAGTCAATTCCATAAATCCCTTGTCACTTACACTGTAAAATCTGTTTACATGCAAATCTCCACAGCAACAGCAGTCATTGTTTTGAGAGACTACTCTCTTTTTCAGCAATCAATAACACTTAAGCCCTGTCAGTTAGGAAGATGACCTGGCAAATTACATTCATATGCAGAATCACCTTGTCTAATCAAATCCTTATTTGACAGACTGCACAAAAACAGCAGGGGTGTGGAAAAGAGGCAGATAAATCATGAAACAGCTTGGCCTGTGAGCAGAGTACGGAGCAATCAACGTGCCAACCACCTACTTGTTTGCAGAAARGAGGAGAAAGACCACTCAGCAAGAGCAGATTACAGCCACCAGTTATAGAGCTGCTGATGGAACAAAGCCCTCCCTTCCCACAGCCTAGGAATTACCTCCTGCGATTTTAAGGAAGTCTTCGCCTGTTGCCTTGTACACCTAAAGCAAAAGAAAAGAATGGGTGACTGTCATGCTGCTTGCCCTGCTGTCAAGGAAAGGACTGCAGAGCCAGCGTCACCCACCTCGATGTAGCGGCTGCCCATGTGATGCTTGTGTCTTTGCAGCGCTAGGTCTCTGTGTTCTTCGCTCACAAACCTCACGAGAGCCTCCCCGTTCCTCCTGCCTTGGGCATTGAGACAGAGTGCAGCACCTCCCCTGGAAGGTTGAAGCCAAACACTGAATAAGATTGAGGCAGCCAGAACACTGCAGAGGCAGGGATGAATCCTCAGCCACTAACTTGGCAATATTWAGGCCTTTGAAGAATCGCGCTATGTCCTGGTCCGATGACTGCCAGGGCAGCCCTCTCGCTCGTATGACAGCATTATCGTCCACAAGTTCCATCTTGCTGCTGCAGACACAGAAAAGAAAGGAAATAATGCAAGGAAAATGCAGGGAAGACAAGTCTTCAGTGCGTGCCACACACAGAGCACTGCTCGTCACCTGTGCTCCAGCCACGCTTGTGTCCGTGCTGCGGGGCTGCTGGCCAAGGCTGGAAGGCCAAGGGCTGTCCTGAGCCTAAACCACTGCCAGCATCTCCTATCTGTTCTGCCTACACCCTTCAAGCAACAGCCCTGCTAAGCCACCTCCTTCCCAATGAGCCCTTCCTGCTTCATCACATCYGCTCCTTGGGCTCACATCTTCTTGGGCATACTTACAAATTACTCTCTRTTCCCAACAAATACCAGTATTTTGGGCTTCTGTTGTCTAAACAGGCAGAGTTGGGTAAAACTACACACCTGCTCCTATAATTTTAGGCAAATGGAATTTGAAGCAGAGAAGTTAGTTGTGGTTATATCTGAAGTTTAGTTTTTCTTATTTCTTATTCAGTTTTGGTTTGGTTCTTCTTGTTCTCTTATTTCTACTGGCTTTTTATACTCCGTTACAGTCAAAAGTACCCAGCACAGAAGACTCATGCCTAAAGAGCTGTGCCTTAATTTCTCATTTAGGCCCTCTCTGTGCTACTAGAGATTATTATAGCTACAGGCTGCACTGACTGCTCAGCAGGGGAATAGCTCAGCCACTGAAAGCCAGTTGTAATTGGCCATTACCTTAGTCTTTGTTCTCCTACAGTAAGAGTCTCTCTTGCTGTTAAAAACAGTGTAGAACAAAACACTCCGGGCTACCAAGGCTGCTGGTCTGACTGCTGTAAGAACAGGGTGTTGCATGGAAGAGACTTCAGTTTGATTAAGCAGCTGAAGTGCTGCTCATCAGCACTGAAAGGGGCCTCTCTTACTCTATATTTTGTCTTAAAATACAGACCTGGGGCTGAGGAAGAGAAAATAGGGCTGTCACCTTCCCCGGTGACACACCTGTACAGAAGTAGTTCAAGCAAAACAGCAGCATTCACTTTGCACTGTCACAAGTGAGATGGGAATGTTCTGCCCCAGCCCAGATTTCAGGGGTAAAGGGGAAGAGCTTAGAACATTCCTAGAACAGCCCCCTGAACATCCGATGTTTTCCTGCCAATATTGTTGCTTTCTTTTCTTGCCACTTCTTAGAAGTGCCAGTATCATCATGATGAACCCTAGTTCATTAAGAATGTGTCATAATTCTTTATAATCTGAAGAAGGAAGTAGGTATTTATGCAAGACAGGAATCTAAGTAAGATCAGCTTAACACTAGTCACTTGTGGTACTGCAGAGGAAGTACCCAGCAATACCACTGAGAAAAATCTGTTTGAAGATGGAGGAGCATGATTACATTTTAACAAGAGTATATAAAGCTTTATATACTCCTTACTTAAGGCTCGTTTGAGAAGAACACAACCATCACAGTTCATGCARTTTACTGGGAGGACTCTAGTTTGGCACAGTAGCTTTAGGGAAAGGTTTTTCCTCTGTAAAATAATATTTTCCTCTTTAAAATAATAAAATAGGCTACTTCTGCAAAACACTTCAGTTCCCACAGTGCATTATGCTTAGAACTCACTGTGGACACTTAGGAGCCAACCAAGAACTGCCAAGAGCAAACTTCCTAGCTAGGAAACTGTCTTACAACCAGCGCAACTTCCCATTCCCTTTCCCAATCCATGTGGCCAATTTATTCCCACAGCAGTGTCAGAATAAGGAAAGTTTGCACATTATGAGCACAGAAGACTACACCTTAGCTCAGCGGTGTCTTAAAGGAGGCAGGAAGATACTCACCAAGGCCCACTTTCAAATTTGTAATTCACTCTTTCTGGATCTGAAAACCTGTGATCTATGAAACAGTACAAGTTATTTTCTTTWTCCTCAGCAGAGGGACAGGGGAAAAAAATAATCATGCAAATACAGAAAATTAGTTCATCACACTCTCACTTACTGTACGGTTCAGATATTAGCGTTAAAATAATATTCCCCATATCTTCAATGTGCGAGGCTCCATATGGAAGCGCTGGGCTGCCCTTGTCCAGATTTAAATCTTTGTGCAGGAGTTAAGTCAATCACTGAATAAATTTTTAACTGGCCCCTTGCTAGAGAGCCCCGAGCTCTCCCGTTATCCTGGCTGGCAGGTCAGCTTCCCAGGAGCCGGGAAGCAAGGCCGGGCAAGGGGCCGACTGCCTCCAAGTGCTGCCACCTGCGGGAGCACCGGGTGGCTCCATAGGGAGTCAGGACAGGGGACAGCCCTGCTAAGAGYGCCTGGGTTTAATAGTCACATACACTGTAGGACAGGGGCTCTCTTGCACGGACAGGGCTGGGCTCTGTCCTTTGTAATCCGTGCCATGCCCCGGCTCTAGAGGAAGCAAACACCAAAATCAAGAGGTTGTAGCAAGTATTTGCTAAACAAGTAAATCCCAAAGTGGACCAAATATCTTGTTTTGGTGCTTTGACAAAATTCACAAGACATTTGGTCCACTGTGGGATTCATTTAGAAAATAAGTGAGGCTTTCTGCAGGTGTGGGCTATTTGCCAAGCGCCCGGGAGCAGCCTCTGCCGCGCAGCAGCCCGGCCGGATGGTCCCGCGGGGCTTCCGCAGGGCCCAGGCGGAACCCAGAGCCCACATCCCTCCCCTCCCGGCCTTTCGGGAGAGCAAGGATGGAAGAGCAGGAAGCACGTTGGAAAGACGGGCTGCAGACTCACCAGGTAAGTCATGTTCATACAGGGAGGAAGACTGGTTTAAGAAGCACGTCCCATCTTTTTCCACAGGTTTAAGTGGGGTGACTACGGTGCCTGTTCCTGCCATATCCAATAGTTCAGCATCACAGACTCAGAAATAGCTGCACATCTGCTCCATCACTTATATAAAGGGTTTTTGAAAGTGCCTCTCCCATCCCCTCCTTGAGGGACAAAGGGACAAGGAGGGAAGCAAGTGAAACCAAGCAGAGCCAGACTTGCCTCAACAGTTTGACAAATCAGAGCAAACTGCAAGAATTTCCTACGCAGCAAGACCTCTCCTGGCCTGACAATACAGCRATTTTGGATAGCCAGTAAGGCAAAGACACTAGTTTGCTCATCTTTTGATTTCCACCACATTAGAAACACTGGGACACAGCTAGGAACCGTGGTCCTCAAAGYTGTTGCTCAGCCCAAGATGTTCAAGTTTCTCTTAAAAGAGCAGCTGCCTCCACCTAATGCTGAGTGCATTTTGACTTGTCACGTGCCTGGATGAAAGACAGGAACAGAAGAACAAGTTCTGCTGGAAACAGACAGACAAACAATAAATATGAGCTTATCATACCATTATACTCAGTACAGAGTGTGTGTGGGGGGATTTTCCTGCTGTTTGTAGATGACAAGGCAGTCCTACAAACAGATTTATTGCCTCAGAACAAGGTAACGCTTAAACWTCAAATCTCACTGGAAACAGTTCAACTGAATTCATGAATTCTCCTCCCTAGGAACGAAAGGAAAGATATGAGCCCACYCCCCCAAATAGTCCTGAGACTGATTTGCAGAACAGAAGGTAGCAAAGCGATGCTTAATCTCACAAGAGCGTTGGAAGTTGAGGTGACCTCCTGCGGCTGAAAAGGAGCTAGTGCTGCCGCCCCCCAGCCCCTCCAGGGCACAGCCCCTTTCCTCCCCTCCCTTGACACCTCACTCGGAGGGGCAGTAAGGAGAATATTGAGCAGTTCTCCTAAAACCAGCTGCTTCCTCATCTCCCCCTTTCCTGTTTGACACTTCCTTTTGAAATCCAAGTGCACATTTAAAGGAGTTCTAGGAATTGGGCATGGCRGCTAAAGCTCCTGTAGCAAACAAACACTGCCCTTGATCTACTCCAAGTGAAGCAAAGGACAAGAGAGGCACCCAGGGCAGATGGGACAGGGAACGAGTCCTGCTGCCCAACCCTGGTGGGCAACGGAGGGGGAATCCTTCCACACGAGCCTCATTGACACGGGCAGGGGAGACTTCCCCACATCTTCTCAGGTTCTTCCCTACAGCTTCACCCAATATCAGTGTCCTTCAAACCTTCTGCTTCTCTCACGCTGTCTCTTCCATGTCTCTGTGTCTCAACCCCTCTCCCAACCAAAGGAGAAAGAAAAACTGAACRTCACTCGTGATGTCTCAAGACCTGGGGGATGACATGAACTGCTCTTACAAATTGGGTCTCAATTGATGCTCTTTTGGTTTGTCTACAGTCTCATCAGACAGAGATCACATCTTTTTAGATACTATTTTGTTTAGAGAATCTGGCATCCCCTGGTTCTGGGTACTACCACAGTAACCACAAGCAGATGTAAAATATGATGGCCAGTTAACGGTCATTAAGGGGCTACTGACAGSCAGAGTTAAGTATTAAGTACTATTGGTCAGAAGGGTGCTCCACACTTCTATTTAAGACACACAGGTTAAAAAGCAACTTTTCCTGTTGCACCAGCCGGATTCTCGGGAGCCCACTCACGGGATGGCTTCTGGATCCCTGCGTTCCCACCGAGGACACCAGGAGATGCTCCTGGCCAGGAGCCCTCCTCACCGACCCAGGCCGGGTGCTGGGGAGCAGAGCTGCTCGCCGGGGAAGGCTCCTGCGGGCCCAATCCGCAGGCAGAGGAGGACGAGCCTCCCATCCCCAGCGAGTCGCAGCCGGTCGGGCAGCCTCTGCTCAGGGTGGCAGCCCCAGGCATTCCCAGCAGTGGGAACTGGCTCAGCCAGCTCTGCAAACGAGGYGGCAGCCAGGGAGCGGGAGGCTGCAGGGGAGCAGCCCTGCCCGGCTCCTATCCCTGCCCCGGCCCCTATCCCTGCCCCGGCTCCGGAGATTTCAGCAGCCCTCAGGTTCCTGCCCCCAGGATTATCACTCCTCCCAAGTTCTGTTATTGGGGATTTCGGGCACTTGTGCTGCTCTCTGGCCCCTTTCACTACTCTGACTAAGGGGGATCTGCCACMCGACTTTCCTGTACTGAAAAACAGTAGCGAGGGAGCAGCAGCACCCAGGAATAACACRTCGACTAGTTACGGTTTTTCCTTCATTCCTCAAATTTGATAGCATTTAAAATGACTCCTTTACCCTGCATTAAAAGAAGTCTGTGACTTACGGAATTTATCATTTCTTGGGGGTGACAGCAGGGTGGAAAGAAACAAGCAACCTAAAGCTTTCACCTGAGCTCCTGGATTTGGGACAGCTTTGTACTGAATAGGCAATTTCAGGTAGCTTGCTAGAAAAGCAAGTCCCCAAAGTACTTCCTGTGGAAGAATAGCCAACTGGTTATTCCATGCGTTTGGTTTTCCTCCCCACAGAGAGCAGCCTGCTGTCTTTGCATGGACTATACCACCAGGTATCAACTATCCGGTGTTTCACACACTAGAATACACATCTTGAACGACTGTGTTGTAGGAAATTGTTGTTTAATCGGATACTGCTGGTCAAAGCAAAAGCCTTTGGAAGTTGTCCCCAGCTTTCCTCCCACAAGAGTTCCTTCAGGAGCTCGTGTGGCACCTTGCACACAGGGACATGGGGACACGGGATGGGCCACAGGTCTCTGGGCTCCCCAGCAGGAGCTGCTCCCCYGCAGACACCAACCCGACCCAGGAGTCTTGGCCCAGCACAAGGGACCAGGGAAGATCCCGTCACGCAGCCCCTCCGGCTGCARGTAGGAGCTGTAGCTTTGGGCAGACTGACACACGGGTCAGATCTGTGCACTAAGCCACAGCTTCGTTTCCCTCTCCTCCATGTGTTCACAGCTTGTATTTAGCCCTTAGCATATCCCCCTTCAAAGCCATGTTCCTCTCCAGTTACTTTACTGGTTCCTTTACTACATAACTGTTTTAGAAGGAAACTAGTTGTTCCACTTGCTTCAAGGTAAGGCCTCTATGCACAAAATTGCTTCAACTACTCCTCAGGCTTAATCATCTTCCACAAAACTTATCAAAACCATTACGTGCAGGTCCAGACTCTCCAAGTGCAATTACAACTTACACAACTCCTGACGCTGAGGAGGTGATTAAGCTGGTGCCTCTGAGCACAGGGAGGGAAAAATATTATCACATTTGGCAGGAGCAGGAAGCAAGGCTTTACCTTTTCAGCAACTGCGTGCTTCGCCCGTGTGCAGGGCACAAATGGTTAACATTTCCTCCACGTTACATAAAGAGAGCCAGCTTGCAAATAAGAGCACCGAGAGCCACAAAACAGGACAGACCACACAGATTAAGATAAGAAGTTATTTAGATTTTTATATCTGAAGAGAAGGGTATCAGAGCCTGAATTCAGACTCAAGTTGAGACCATTTGGGTAAGTTGTCCTGCTCTTCAGGAACCTGAAGGAAACAGTATCTGTGACTGCTAACTGCAAACGTAGACAGCAAGTGAAGCTGCAGGAACTAAATCCACCGGCTCCAACCCAATTCAGGTTCAGGTAATAATTCATCTAGCCACAAGCTTAATATAAGGCTTTGCCGTTGCCCAAAACAGAGAGACAAGCCCCCTAACAGCATCACTCTATCACTGCAAGTGGATCCAGGACCACTGCTTCCTCTCTGAACACGGCCAAGACCCCACACCCCCACATGCAGCACCCCCACACTTTCTCCCTGCAGAAGGCAGGGCTTGCCCAGGGGCAAGATGCACATCAGCCACTGACACCAGGAGAAAGCAAATGCATCTCTTTGCGACGGGCAAAGCAGCCCAGTGCCTTTAAGCAACCCTCCCAGCTCACGTTATCTGTCAGTCTCCAAACAGGTCCTGGGCTTCTCCGTCCTCACTGCAACAGTCACTGTCACCCAGTTTGTCAGACCAGGCAACTTAACTCGCCTGCACTGGCCACGTAGGACTCTTGATTTCTAGGAACACTGCTACCCCTGAGAGCAGAGGATGCCTCCTCACATGCAGATGGCAAAGCAGAGTAGATGCCTTCTAGCTCTCAGCCTTGTGGCGTAGGAGAAAAAGTTTAATAAAAGATCACTTGCATAGATACTTTATGCTTTGCTGCCACAGCAGGTACAAACCCTCAGCAATACTGTCAAGGAAAGTCTTGGGGACTAGGACTGAACTATTTCAGGTGTCACAGACTTTCAAGTTAGGGAAAAAAAAAGAAAATAGAAAAAAAAAAAGCAATTTCTGAATGGCAAATACTCTACAGACACCATAAGCTAGACAAATATAGAAGGATCATTAGTGAGGTGGACACTGCTTGTAGCACAGCAACCCCGTCTAAGGTCACTCCTGAGTCAAAGCTTCACTTCAAGACCACCCCTGGTTAAGATGGAGAGCTCTCCCAAAAATCTACATCAACTCACACAATACGCAACCCACAACCTTCCTATTAGGATTCATGTCATTTGTATAAACATGCACCACTTATCTGAATTGAAGTTTAAAGAGACAGAATTATCAAGACAGTGAAAAAAGGGACACAGAAATTAAGAAATAAAGGATTTTCCCCCCACCCATGGCATTGTGTACCTTCATCTTTGAGGGAATGCTCAGTGCAGTTTGCAGTACTGTTACTCAGTAAAGTGGCCCTGTCCCTAGCCATGCATTGCAAGCTGCYACCTCTGTCCCAGAATGCAGTCAGAGCTGCAATAGTAGATATCATTAGGAGTTAAAAAAAGGATACACTCTGCCATAGCTGCAGCATCAAGTTTGCTGATGTCAGGTGAGCCAGGGCAACACTTCTTGAACTCTTTTCTCAAGTCAAAAAAGGAGTAGAAGCATTCAGGCAACGAGATATTCTGCAAGAGAACAAGGTAACTTCTGTCAGCTGTGATCATCCCCCCTACCTGCTCTCTAGATTCCAGCTTTCTAACAATTTCTTTCAAGCAGGTAAAAAGAAAACAGCTTGTGCTACAAAGAAGCTCGTACAGCTCCYTGTGGCTAATAAACATACTTCAATAATTATGTCTATCAGCTCCTTTTTTTTTTTTTTTTTGCTAGATGGTTTACAGAAAGAAATATGTTCTTTCACTGCCAGGGAAGCGCTTGCTATTACCAGTGCCTTGGATCCAATGCATGCACACGAGAGCAAACAAGTGTTATTGCAACACTTGCCATCAATTCCTGATTTCGGTTTTAACTAAGGAGAGCMAGAGGGCACTCAGTTCAGCTTACTGAGCCAACCACCTTTTGCAAGACCAGCAAGAAACATTTTGGTTTAGAGACAAGGCTGAGTTTTCGGAGCACAGTCACACTTCAAATATTTATTCCTATATATAATTAAAATGCAAACACACCACTGAGCTCATAKGGGTTTGATATAATATAAAGGTTGTCCATCTATGCCTGATAGCTGCATTAATCACAGTCTGTGAAGCCAAGAGCAAGTTASACAGCTCACTGCAAATATGTAACCCCCTTTTTCCCCCACTGCTGCCCCTACCCCATGCTTTAGTTTAGGGGGGGAGGGAGAGCAACAAGGGGACTTGGGGGGACTCTTTAAGGATCCCCCTTGAATTCCTTCTTCATCCCAGATGTCCCTACCTACAGCTCAGTGCTCCATGTGGCTGATGCTGAACTCTAGCGCCTCAATRTCTGTGATTCAACGACTAGTTGGGACCTTGACATTGCAACAGAACGAAAGGACATACGGATGCACGTTTAGAAAGCCCCAAGAAAGGAGTTTAGGTTCTAAAACAAGTTCTGCTTTGAAAATATTAGAGCTTATCTTAGCATATAGACAGGTGCATTAGGCAAATAATACCCTTTAAAGGCAAACTTAGGAAAATGCAGGTGTACTTGCCAAGTTTTGCCAACTGCTCTAGTTTTACCATGGCTGTTTTCTTCTCCCATGAGAGATCAAGTTCTGTTCTTACTGAAACTCAGTTGAAACACTTTAGGCTGATTCATTCTCTGAACACTGAGAGCTATGAGACAGTCTTAGACTGGGCATCTCAAAAAAAAAAGAGAAAAATGCACTTACAAAATCCTAGATTTCTGCCCATCTTAGTTAATTTTGCCATTARTGCCAAATAATGCTCATTTTAATTAGTTTTCCCCCACTGAAGCTTAGTATTTGGGGATTCACCAAACAGCTCTTGCAAGTCTCACATGCACCTGGCTTACTTGATCTATAGGCAGTGCTGAACATATTTCCACTGAACATTTTGTCCTGAAACAGAAGGTTTCGATGAAGATTGGATTCCTAACAGTGAAACCGTGGTGATGCATGCAGAAAAAAAACAGCTCCCTATCCTTGGGGCCAAATAAACTTCAATAAGAGCAACTGAAGGATCATCCTTTCTTTCATCTACATTGTTTAACTGCATAAAATACATAACCTTTTTGTTTATAATGGGTAACAACCTGTTTCCCCATCTTCTCCCACTCACATTTTATTATCCAAGACAAAGCTAGATGTTTGAAGGCAAGTTCCTTCACTGCTAATGATGCTCATCGTTTCTCCACTCAGGCTTCAGAGATAAATACAGCACCAACAACTACTAAAAGCAACTCATTTTGTATCAGTCTCTAAGAGCAGATGTGCAGAACTTCACAGACGAAGCAGCAGAATGACAGGCACAGATTAGGTGAGGAAATTCCAACAAGGGAACCTGCAAAGCAGTGCAGGTCCATAGCAAGTCACAGACATGGGGTGTTTTTTTACTGTTGGGGCAGTTATTTTATGACATGGGCTGAGCACATTGCTGCAACTCTGTGCTAATGGAAAGGARGCAGGAGCTCACAACACTGCGAGCAATTTGGCAACTCCAAAGTCATGGAAAACTCTGGATTATGGGACTAGTCATCACTCACGGCCTGGCTCCTACCACCGTTCAGCTCCTTCCAAACGGGAGCACCGCCCTCGCAGCGCCAGCTGAGCACAGACACGGAAAGCTGCGGGACCTCAACAGGAGCAGAAGCTCCAAAAGGCCGCCGTGAAGGCGGGTAACTATTTTGCAATCTTAATTCTGGTAAGGATATGGACTGATGAGCAACGTCTGGATTATGAGCGTGAGAAACTGCCCTCACATCATGCATTTTAAAGAGAGCTTGATCAATCTGAAGAAAACAAAGCACATGAAGGGGAGTTAAGTTTGAAGTTACAGCTAGGTACCTTTTTGGATGCTTCAGGATGCAGAACTTGTCTGATGTGCAGCTGTCCATCGGTACAGAAACAGAAGGACGTGCCCACACCAATATTCAGCTCATTGCTCACGGACTGATTAAACTGGGAGCAGGAAATAGAGACAGGGAATGGAAATCAGAGCTAGTCCGTATAATCACTGAGCAATGCCCGCCTCCCGCTCGCGGGGCTGTGATTTCTCCTTTACCCACCCAAAGCTCTTTCAGCCCCTAGGGACGCAGSCTGTGCGATGCCCCATGGCCCCTCTGCAGGGACGTGCCTGTGCAGAGGCCACCTCGGGACCCCCTCCCTCTGTGGGGCTCCGTGGGGACCCGGGCCCGGACATAAGGCCGGACAGCTCATGGGGCTCCCAGTGTTTGGAACAGGGCTCCCTGCCCCGCTTGCAGGGGGAACCACTGCTCCTGCCTGCTTATTCAGGGCCTCCACGGCTCCTTCATGGAATCACAGAATCCCTAAGGTTGGAAGGACCTTTAGGGACCATCTAGTCCAACCCCCTGCACACACAGGGTCAAGCTCCTGGCCAAAACGGATGCTCCTGCTGCCAGCACCCACGTTACAAGGGATGCATGGGTGCTAAACCACCCCCACCCAGGCAGCGCAGCTCAGCCCTGGCTGCGACGCAGGACAGGGCAGGACATGACTGGCCTCACAGGCTCGGCCCTCTGCTCCAGGCCTGTGGGCAGCGCTSCCGGGATGCAGCCCTCCCGGGAACCAGCGCCCTGCGCGGCATCACCGACACCCGCCATGGCGTCAGTGCCACCAGCACCCCGCAGAGCGTCACGGGCGCCCCACACCCGCGGTCACCTGTCTGAGCGCCTGCTCCAGCGGCGGGGCCAGCGCCAGGCTCTGGGCATCCACCTGCGTGACCTCCTGGCACTCGGCCGTCAGCTCGGGGCGGTCGGGCTGGACGAGCAGCTCGTGCGGGCGCCCCAGCTCCGGGGAAAGCAGAGGCGGGTGAGGGCGCAGGCAGCGGGGGGCCCGGCGGCCGCACCCGGCCCGCGCCGCGCTCCCTCCTCCTCCTCCTCCGCGGGGCAAATACCTCCTTGCTCCTCAGGTCCAGCACCCTCCAGAGCAGCTGCAGCAGCTCGCGCTCGTCCGAGCCCAGCCGGGCCCCGCTGGCGCCCGCCGTGCTCACGAACAGCAGCACCAGGTAGTCGGGCGAGGCCGTCATGGTGCCGCCGCGGGGAGGAGGAGAGGGCGGAAGGGCCGCGGGGAGGCACGAACGTGCCCGGCCGGGGCGCGCC